ATGATCATAAATGAAAAAGCTTCCTACAATTCGTGTCCCCCACCCCTCCTTCCTTTTAAAAGATAGAACTTGGATATCTTTTTTTTTTTTTTTTTTTTTTTTTTTTTTTTTTTTTTAAATCATTGCATCAATGACTGAATATAAATATATTAAAATGCTCCCTTTTTTTAAAAGAGAATTATATATTTAAATGGTGCAGACATTTGTATCAGAGGATGCCTGTCTACCAGGATGGCTAGCTAGCTCCTGTTGCAGATGCTTGTGTTTAATGTCTGCAGAGCCCACCTGCGTTTTATACTGCAACTATGCTGAGCAGACCCTGGTTGCAGTTTCTGGGAGAGTGCATGTTATTTAGCATAATCAACAATCTGAACAAGGTCAGCATGCTCAAGCCCTTCATCACGATGTGTGACTTCATGCTAGCACGAACCATCAACAGCTCCCAATTTCACTCAAGGCTTGGGTCAACCTGTGGCGTGGTTTTTCACACACTGGGGTTGCCTCCACCAGATCGATAACATCAAGAAGTCACCTTCCTGACAAATCCATCATGGTAAGATTCAAACTTGGGTCTCATAGTCAGGAAACAAATGTTATAACCACTCTACAGCAAAAAACCAAAAATTACCTCAACGTAGAGATAGTCTATTTACAGCTGTCCTGTGTGCAGCTATCAGCAGCCCTAAGTGTCTGTCTCAGAACATTGTTTTAAATTTATTTTCAATATCAGTCCTCTGGTGGACACCATGTTAAAAAGAATGGGTTTGTGGGGGCGTAAGATATCTTTTCCTGGGGGACGTGGTTTGAGGTTGGAGTTTATTTATGGCCAGAACCTTTGTTGTTTCAAGTTTAATATCAGTTCCTCTGTGACATTTCTTATACCGGCCCCAAGTATGTTTTTCTGGGATTCACAGTAAAGTTTTTGTACTGTCCAACACACTTATATGTATACATATCTTCATACATACATATGTACGTGTATTATGAAATTTGGAATTTTTTCCTGTCTACTTTTTGTGATTAGTTCGCGTCGTTGATTTAATAGTTTGCATTAATCTTTATCCTGATTTTTTTTTTTTTTTTTTTCTTCTTCTTCTAAACATAGCTTGTACCTATCTCTAAAACTATAGTGGGGTGTTTGAAACCTAGAATTTTCCAATTTAAGGGTTCAGACCCTTTTCCTTCAATTCCCAAAATTTTTTCAAAAGATCTGTTTGGTGTTTTAATTTTGGATTAGTGAATGAGTGTCTGTGTATTGATTCTCTTTTAAATTCTCTTGCAGAAATGCTGATGTAAATATGGTTTGTCATATTTTCTTTAGGGGGTAATGGTTGCCTGATGCACTACCCTAGTGGATCTGCCCTCTACTGGACAGTTTTCCATAATTCTACAAATACAGGGGGTTTGCATGGTAGATTAGGGTCTCTCCCCCTGGAATTTACTTAAAATGTAATTGTTATGGGAATTAATAATTTGGTACATGTTATCTGTGCAGGAGAGCTAATTTTGATTGATTTCCTGTTGAATATCTTATTTGGGGGTGGTTGTTTTGTTGTTTTTTTTTTTTTTTTCTTGCTGAAGTGTTTAGGAAGACCTATCCTATGTTTACAGTTTGCATGGTGTGAAAGGTTTTTTTTTTTTTTTTTTTTTTTTTTCCTATTTTTACACCTACATTCCACTTTTCATGTATTGGTATTACATACAAATGGTGGTTCCATAAGACTGTTTACCTTTGAAACAACTCTTAGGGATGACTTTAGCTTAGTCTCTTATTAAAGATTTTTTTTTTTTTCAGTGGATGATACTTAACTAATCCTGGTGCAAACGTTAGTGTGTATTTGTCTTAGGATTGTTCTGGGGTGGTTAGAGCCAATATTAATATAGTTGGAGATTTTGTTCTCTTTGTGATAAGTTTTAAAGGTTTTATCATTAAGGTTAAGGGTGATATCTAGGTAGTCAACTATTTTAAGGTTAGAGGAAATCTCGATCTTAAACCCTAGAAATCTGAAGGTTCTGGCTATAAATAAACTCCAACCTCAGACCCCCCACCACGGGGGGGGGGATAAGATATCTTATGCCCACACCAATTTCTGACACAAACATATTCTCTTTAACGAGGCATCTTCCAGGGGATGACTGACATTGAAAATAAATTTAAAACAATTCTGAGACAGACATTTATGGCCTGATGGTAGCTGTGCACAGAATGACTTGAAATAGACTAACCCTATGTTGAGGTAAAAAAAAAAAAAATTGAGCTCTCTGTGGGTCAGTTTTAATAATTAATATTACTAGGATCCACCTGGATTATACCAATGGATCAATTACCTGTACTTGTGTGTGAGATATATATATATATATATATATATATATATATATATATATATATATATTACAAAGTCACTGAAGAATTTAAAAAAAGATTGATCTCAAAACTTTTCTAAGTAATGGTGTGTTTTAATAATTGAGAAATGAAGGGATTCATCATTGATATCTGTAATTTTCATATTGTTATAGGATACATATTTCAGCTCTGTTATAGAGTAACTGTTATTTCCTCTTAGGCATTGTAGCCATATGATGAAATTGGGGAAACACCTTGAGCTGTTAAAAATCTGAATACCTGCAATATTAGTTTACAAGTGGTGATTGATTTTTAATCTATTTGAAATTAATTAGGTATATATAATTAAATTTAAGTTAGGCCTTATAGTTTTTAGGAACAATTTATATTAACTGTTTTATCAATAAAGTTTATCAATATTTTATTTACTTGGATTAAGATTTTAGCTTTGTATCTATGAAAATTCTGTAGTGTTGTCACTTTATTAAATAAAACCTTGAATTTATTATATACTCATTCTTCTAAGTTTCTCATTGTCTATTGCATGATATTTCTTTTTCTTATCTATCAGAAATTAACATTTCTTAGTTCTGTTTGTGATGGGAAGATAAAGACTAGATAAACTGCAATTTCTTTTAACTTTTCTTTTTTCCTTTTGTGAGCTAAGGGTAAATATTATTTTACAGTGATTTCATCTCTCATCTTGTCACTTTCCCCAGACATAGATTATTCTACAGCATCTAATTTCACTCCTTAACATAACTTAGAACCGCCTTAAATTTTCAGGGCCACAATTGGAAGACAGACATAACTTGCTGACCAAGGTACTTAAAGGTACTTACATTAACTATCCTAAATTTCTTTTTATTTGAAAAGAAATTTTTTTTTTTTTTTTTTTTTTTTTTTTTTTTTTTTTTTGTGTGTGTGTTGTTGTTCTCTGAGTAGAGTACAACACATTACAACATAGCACTGGTAGTCCCTGTACTTCTCCCTGGATACATCAGTTCTGGCGTCTCTGTGGGAGAGAGGTGCAATTATGTATAAATTCAATTACATAGTTAAGCCTGCCCCCAAACATCATTTTATCTCAAAATTTTAATTGCTGAACGCTTTTTGACTATTTAATGCCCATTTGTCTTAATTTTCTAAACCATTTTAAAATTTTACTGACTCTTAAATTGATTTTATTTTTTTTATTTTTTTTCCTTTATCAAAATTGTGGGCAGTAAATAGTTGATTTATTAGCATTAGACAATGGTTTAAACCTCTAATATGTTGAAGTAAAGAGCTATAATTTGAGTGCCCTAATAGTATAATTGGCGTTTCAGCTCCCAGTCTGTCAAATTACTGGATATGATTTATTCCTGTATAGATTTGGTACATGATAAAGTCTCAATTCTATTGCTCTTTTGATACCTAATTTCATGAACATACATAACTGGTTTAAATCAGCTTCTTTTTATTTTTTATTTTATCAATTATAGTTGCCTCTATTAGTGTGCTGCTTTTGAATTTGTAAGCATTCCTTTTTCTCACCCCCAATGAGTCTCTGCTATGTTATCTTTTTGTGTTTTTTGTACTTGGTTTATTGTCATGCAATAGTTTGTTTTGTGTCCCAGGTAGTGCGGTATTATTCCTTTGTTTTGTCTTGGAAATTATTTTAAGTTTAATATCTGCTCTTTGACATGTAATGGATCAGGAGTTTTTTTTTTTTTTTTTTTTGCGTGTGTGTAGTTCTTTTACTTATTTAAGACTTTAGTTCTATGTGTCCTCATTTTATGACCATTCTAATCTGAAAACATTGTGCCACTTCCTTTTAATAGACCTATGCCATTTTCTTATGGAAATATACAACATAGCACCATTTTAAACTTTCAGTATTGTTCACTTAGTTTGAAAATGTGCAACTTTTGTTTATATTAAAGCTGATTAAAAATTCTCTTCTCTTCTTTTTTTTTTTATATATACATGAATAATTAAAATTTGTACTAGTAAATTTGACTGTCGGATGACCCATTTCCATTAAAATGCATACTATCACTTTATAACTTATTTTTATAGCCATTTTTCTAAAAATGTTAATGAAAAATTTCTTTTCACAGGTGAAATTGTAAATATTACAATATTGAGCAAAATCAACCTGACATAATTGTAATGGTTTATTTGGCAACTGGACTGAGGAACAAATTGTTGGTCTTTAAATTATTTTTAATAGTATTTGACTATAAGGAGTAGACTTAATTGCACAAACCAACAAAAGTTAAATGCATTTATTTACTTGTATTGTTTTGTTCCCCCTCCCAACAAAAATTGTTCTAAAACAATGTTATCTTTAAAGAGATGCAATTGAGATTTGTAATAACTGTACTGTGTAATGGTACTAATAAAACTGATTCATAGTTGTATAAATATCTACAATTGATCAAACCTTTTTCGAACTTTTAAAATATTCTTAAGCACTTAAGTAGAATTGTATAACTTATTAACATTTATTTATACATATGTATATAATTTATAGAAACTACTGTAAGTTATGAAATTGTAATAAACTTTCTTCTGGTACACTACGTTGAGCATAAAATTAATAAGTAATGTAGCTATTTTGTTGTAACTTTGTAGATTTTGATTGTTTTTTTTTTATTTTTTTATTTTATAGTTCGTGGATCAAGACCAGGTAAAAATGTTCAGCTGACAGAAACTGAAATCAGAGGACTATGTTTAAAGTCAAGGGAGATCTTTCTCAGTCAGCCAATTTTATTAGAACTTGAGGCACCACTAAAAATCTGTGGTAAGTTTTTGATTTTTCAGTATAAAAGTTACATTGGAAAATTTTACTTTTTTTGATACCTAAGGTTTTAAATGAATTTTTAAAAATGAAAAGTGTTCTTGAAGATTTCATTTTAGTTTTAATTGAAAGCTAGACTTACTATTTCCAGTAAGTAAAATATTCTGGTGTTATTTCAAATAGAAATTATATAGATCAGAATCTCTGCTTTTTTGGTCGATTTCAGAAAATCTTACAAGTGACCATTTTAATTTTTTTAAGAAACTTGTAAACAAAGCGATTATCAGTTTTAAAAATCTTCCAAATATTTGACACATTACTTGAGTAAAATTAGCAAATGTTAAAATTTGATATACACCCGAGATAAACATCACCTATAACCTTAAAAAAAAAAAAAAGTAATATAATTACTACCTAGTAATTTTTACAAATTGACATTTTTCGGCAATTATCTAATATTTTATTGACTTTTGGTTATGTTTGAAAATGTTTTATGAAATTTGGATTTTGTTCCTGAGTTTTTAAGTTTACTTAAAGAATTACGTAATTGGTGTATGGCCCTAACTAAAATAAATACATGAAATAAAAATATGTAGTTAAATAGTAATTTACGAAAAGTAGAAATTTAAACACGTTAACGATGAAACAAAACTGAATAATGAAAGAATTGCAGAGTGCCAGACAATTCTTAAATCACATGCCCCTTTTAAAGGATAATATCATTTATGGCTTACCATAGTTACAAATTGGGAACATTTATACACTAAAAAAAAAATTTAATTTTTAAAAAAATATTTAGTACGAGCGATTGTTATGAGCTTTTCAATTTTTGATTTGTAAATGTAGTTTCACTGAATAACAATATCACCTAACCGCTTTGAAGTAATGCAGAATTTTAAACAATTCTTGTAAAAAATTATTCAAAAATTTTCTTGAGGCAGTAGTGTCCTTAAATATTATTTAACCAAAATTTGGAACATGCTAGCAAAGATTAAGAAATTTCAATAAAATTATTTGGTCTTTTCTCTTAATAACAAACATTCTGATGCTAAAACTGTCTTTTATTTTTGGGGCCTTTTTTCATGTTATGCTGTTTTTCTGCAAAAAAGTGGAGATACTTAATATAAAATAATTTTGAACTTGTGTGTGTGTGTGTTTGTGTGTGTGTGTGTGTATATATATATATATATATAACCACTCTACACTTTAAATTAAGTCTTCAAATCTAATATTTATTCACTAAAATTTATTTGCAGGTGATATCCATGGACAATACTATGACTTGTTGCGGCTTTTTGAATATGGAGGTTTCCCCCCAGAAAGCAATTACCTGTTTCTTGGGGATTATGTGGATAGAGGAAAACAGTCTTTAGAAACCATCTGTTTACTATTAGCTTATAAAATAAAATACCCAGAGAATTTCTTTCTGCTACGGGGGAACCATGAGTGTGCAAGCATCAACAGGATATATGGTTTCTATGATGAATGTAAGTATTTAGTTTTTAGGTACTTGATAATTCTCTAATCTGTAAAGAAATTTTCAAGCACTTAGCAATTTTGTAATTGTTAAGTGCTGATTTTAAATCTAACTGAAAGTGTTACAAAAAAAAAAAAAAAGGTGTTGACAGTATAACTGCAAGAAACTTTAATATTTTAAGCTGATTTGGTGGGAATATGCAAATTCCAACTTAGTGATGATTGATTTTACAAAAGAAAATATTGAAAACTGTAAAGTCTCATTCCATAGTTCAAGGCTTAAGAATACAGAAATATTAATAGAAAATATTAAATTAGAACTAAGATGTATTTATTTTTTTTTTTTTTTTTTTATTTACTTATTTATTTATTTATTTTTTTTTTTTTTTTTAAGCATTAACATAAAGAGAAAGAATTTGTTAGGATTATTCTATAGACTTTAAGATTGTGTGTGTGTGTATATATGACAGTTACATGACTAATATTGCATAAAATATTCAAATTGTAGTACTGACTATTGTTTGTTGTGGTTTGTCACAGTGACCTAAATAAGGGAAATTGTCACTTTTATTTCTTTGTTATAAGCAGCTGCTTTTTGTATACTAAAGGAATTATAATACTTGAAGAACTTACCTCTGCAACTTCTGGTGATTTTGGTTTGAATAATAAGTAATAATTTTCTCTGTAAATTTTTTTTTTTTTTTTTAGGCTCCTAAAACACACAATGTATATAAATGTTTACATATGTACATTATGCTCCAAATGTTGTCATAGCTGGTGGAGTGGTAGTGGGGACAAGTTCCCATGGTCTATAAAATGCTTCCACAACATGTCTTGAATAGCCTCTGACAAGTCCAGCTCCAAGCCAGGGAATGGACAAAAGTGGAAGGAAAACCATGATTTTTAAACCTCTACTGCCTTGCAGCAATATCCAAAATGTGGAAAAGGCGATACAAGTAAATTCAGACAGAAATCTCTGAATTGGGGCCCTGGGTTGGCTGACGACTTTTTGGCAAGTCCTGTAGCCAAGCTATCCCCAAACGTAATGCCGCATATTCCTTTGTATCTGGAGAGTGGGGTGTAGCCTGGGCAGCGCACAGCCTCTATATGCTATTGTCAGTCTAGAAGGAAAACTTTGAATCCAAACCACCTGCTGCATTGTAAGTATTACCTCTTTAACTTCCAAGAGGATTGATTAGGTAACAATGTCACCGACAGAAAAGGAACCTGCACGCCATTTTAATATTATTCTGCTTTGAATGTCACCATAAACTCCAATTTTAAGATGAAGGAGAGTGGTGACCATCATGGTGCAAAATATGCAAACTCCCCAGTCTTTTGAACAGGAGCAGAGGTTTACAACTTGTTTCCTGTTAAGGACTGGGTTTCCTTATTCTTTTTCACTCCCATTGTGTCATTATCACTTTGAGTGGGACAAATTGATTTAAAAAAACCCAAAAAAACTGAATAAGTGAATTACAAAAACTGCGAATTACAGGCATGGAAGCTAAACTGATTTGCATTATTGTAAATTTCAACACTACTTTTTTTTTTTTTTTTTTTTTTTTTTAACTTTGAACCATGGAGTAATGGATAGCAGCTCGAATTGAGGAATTGGTAAGCCAAATTTGAATTTCAGTTGAATCCATTACATTCACTTACGTGCTAATATCCTTGGGCAAGGTATGAACTATATATATATATATATATATATATATACCCCCCCCCCCCCAGGTATTGGGTTCTATAACCTTGGATGGCAACATGTCTACTGCAGAAAGAAATGGCAACCTACTACAGGGAAAAATCTGCCTTGTCAGTCATGTATCAAAAGACACATGATCACCTTAGCATGTATCACGCATACCACATAACTGATTCATAGTTGGTTCACTTAAACCTTATCTTTAAAATTAACTTCCCTTTAGATTATATTTTCTAAAGTAAAATGTAATTTCTTGCATAGTTTATCTAATACGAGTCCTGAAAATTTCTTAATTGTTAAAATCTGATAACATTTTAGTACCCATTTTTGTAAGTTTGAACATGTTGAATCTTAAATCTTGTATATCTTTGCATCTATTAAATATGTAAAGGTGACTTTAGACTTGAGAAAATGATTCAGGATTTTCTGTAACCTGAAAATTCCACTCTCATGGTTTTTAGTATGAGCATCATCTAGTGTATTAAAAAAATACCATGGCTAGAATAAGATAATTACTTTTATGTAAATTTCCTGCAATAGTTGCAAGTAATTAACTTTGTTACAAAAATAAACTAAAAATGTAGTAGAGGTTATAAGCCAATTTTCATGGTATTGGTACAATTCAATCTGTCAATGGGGGAATTTTTATTTAATTATAAAGAGGAACTTTTAAAGCTTTTTTAATGTATTTCTTTGACAATTTTATATTTCAAGGTAGATATAAATGATGCATTTAGATAAGGCACGAAAAAAAAAATTCTGGGTGTTCAAACAATCAATTCTTAGAAGGACAAGTAACTATATCCTTCTTGATCACTTTTACTATAAATTAGAACAATAGCTTCAGTTGTCAGCACCTTATCACCTATAAAATGACTCTATCACTTGACTGATATTAATATACAGCACCACCCAATTTGGACCTTGAACAATGCTCATAGGGAAAAGATCTTGCCTGTGTAGAAAGTTTTTATTCTACCTTTTTAAACTAATTGATTTTCATAAAAGCAATCATGAAATAACTATTTTATAAAGTTATTTTTATTTATTTATAATTATAGTTTTACAGCATAAACTTTTTTACTGATCATCAAAAATAGCATAATTGATATACAATATGTACTTGTATAGTGCAACTTTTTATGATCAGATTGGTGGGGGGTGTAAAATTTAAGAGTCAGCCTATACACAAGTAGAGTACTAATGATAAATATAAATATTGATTTACCTTAAGTCAAATTTTGAATTGTGTGTTTTATTATTTGTAACAAAAAGAAACTTAATGAATTTAGATATTGTTTTTAAAATTTTCAAAAATTCTCCTTGGATTGTGCTTAAATTGTCTTGGTATCAAGTTATAATCACTGATAGTTTTTGTTGGGCTTGAAACTTAGTTTAGCTTACTGTCAGAATATAGGGGATATTAAAGACCTCATTAAATCTTTAAACAATCATATGATGGCAGTAATTAGTATTGTTAGGCATTGAAACTACAAATTTCTTTTAACTAGTTAATACCAATTTTCCATGTTATTAGCTTAGATGTGGTACAAGGCTGAAAATATGGGATTGAACTCGCTATTCAGTTATAATTTATCTAGCAAGACCAACTTGCTTACCATTACACCACATTGAAGGAATAATTAAGTTATCAGTTGCTCTTTGGGTTACATTGGATAACTTGCATTGTGTGTGTTGTTGGTTTTTTTTTTGTTTTTTGTGGGTTAAACTTTCCTGATAAAGGTTTGATAGTTTGGTCTATATAATTAAATAAGTTAAAATTATCTTGTAATTCATAGAACACAGCTTTTTAGTGCTGAAATGTACAACCACATTACAATATACATGTAGGCCCATGTCCCTGGTGAACGGATGCTTGGCGGCAAGGACAATTCACAATGTCAATCATTATCTTGACTCCTCTCCCTTTTTTTGTCCTTCGATCCTCACTATTCTCTTTCACTTTCATTCCCCATAGCCCCTGCATTCTAGTAGCATTGTTACTTGGTGTGAAACAAATAGAAGTAAGATATTGGTATGCAGTCCAGAACTGCTTATCTTCTTGTGTAATCAAAATAAAATTAAAAGCCTGTTCGGTATTACATGAATGACTTTTATGTAAAACAGCATTAGAAGAAAAGCTATCATTTGGGCTATAATGCCTTTAGACCAAATGTCTTGCATAGAATTTTTTAATGTAATTTATATTAGTATAGTTATGCATATACAATGTGTTGATCGACTTTGAGGGAATGCTTCTCTCTCTCTCTCTCTCTCTCTCTCTCTCTCGTATGGTACTTGTCAAATAAAAGAATTTGATGTTTTGAACAATGTAGATAGAAAATTTATTTCATGATTAATTGTCTGACAAAATGAATATCTTAGACAAGCATAATACTTTATATAGCTCTCATCTGCTTTGAACCATGGGATCTTTCAAAGCCAACTAGGTGTAAGTTGTCTAGTGTGTGTGTGTGTGTGCACTTTATATATGCGTATAATCTTCATTATGTCACTCAGTGGCATACTAACATGGTATTCACTTAGGGAAAATGGAGTTAATAGGTAGTTAAGTGAAAACATACCAATCTGTATATGGTTTCTGAGTTTTAGTCGGTCTAGCAGTTCTATCAAATTATATCCTGTCTTTTAAAGGTCAGATGATTTAGATGAGTCAGGTTATGTATTATTAATGATTATTCTACAGTATGATCTTGCTGACTATTTACAACTGTATAACTAGTTCATAACTTTGTTTTTAAATTGATTTGTTTGACTGCAATAAATTTTACTTAGTCAAAGTATTTGAATAGACTCCAGTATATTAGATTATAGAATCCATTAGTTTCAAAATCTTCCTTTTGAATTCTTTAGGTTGTTCCTTTTAACTTTGCATATCTCAAATGTTATGGAAGGTTTCTTTTATTTAATGCAAATATTGGAGGCTGGATTGAAGTTGTACATACTAATGACTTGGTTATTGTAAAAGACAATGTTCATAATAAAACATTTGCAATATTAAAACTTAACATTTTCTAATGCTTAATATGTATATTACTAGCTAGTTGACAAGCATTTTAAGAGAATTTTTAGCAAGACTGCAGTTTTTGTGGTATTTGATTCTATTTTTCCCAGAATCTTAGATAAAGGAAAGCAGTTTGATAAAGTAAAAAAATATTTTTATTTACTTTGAGAGGGTGCTGAAAAGTTCTCTGCTCAACCAATTCTGATGTTTAGTCAATTTGATATGATTTTGGGAAGTAGGTTAGGCTGAAAACTTTCCACTATTCCCTTATAAAGTCGTGG